GGGTGGGTGGGTGGGGGCCCAGAGGGATGGGCTCCGTGGCTCCTGGGTGCTTAGGGGAGGGGGGGGCGACAGTGGGGGGGCTCCTAGTGTCCTGCTCCTGGACCTCCTCCGAGGGCACCTGGTATCTCTGGCCTCTCCGTGACACAGAAGAGTGTTGGGCTGGATGGGCCACTGGCCTGACCCAGCGTTGGGGCTTCTCTCTTATGTTCTGGATCCAAAACACGCCAGAAGGGCGGTTGCCCGGGTGGGGGAAACAAGCAAGCCGCGGGTGTCCCTCAGCCGCTCATTGACACCAGTGGAGGGCCACTCCGCAGCTTTAAGGAGGACAGTGGAATGTGCTCCTGCCGCCCCCGTGGCCCATTTGAAGAGCACAGCAGTTATAGTCTGCTCTATAGATGCCAACTGCTCTACTCAGTAGGGAGAAGTAATAATTAGAGGGAACATGGGAAGCTGGCCGCCGCCGACAGTTGCGGCCACCCGGCCTACCCAGAAGAGCAAGATTCCAGCCCAGGAGCACCCTTAGAGACCGACCAGATTTTTGGGGGGATGAACTTCCAAAAGTCGAAACTCCCTTTGTCAGTTATCGGACTCTCTCGGGAGCTTACACCCTGGAATTTTGACGGTTTTTAAGGTGCCATGGAACTCGAATCTGGCTCTTCTACTTCAACGGACAGTCACCATCTCCCCTATTAGAGCTCCTGAGGCCCCTGGGGAAAAGGTTCCCCGCTCCCACCCTAGATTTTTTTGCCAATTGGAAAAGTCTGGGGAGTTCATGTGATTTATTTATTTATTTGGGAAGAAGGCAATTTCTTAAAGTTACAACATTGCCATGTTAAGCATTTAGTAAGATCACTGACAGTGTTAGATGATAATTATCCCATGGTATGGTCATACACAACCTGCCTTCGGTTATGTGTTTGCTGTTTAAGTGTCAGTAGTTTTTGTGACCATTTGTGACTGCGGTGCTAAAAAGTTACACCCTTCTAAGCTCACTGAGTTAGAAAAGCACAGTGCTGTTGATATTGACCTTTGTATGAAGAAACTGTTTATGTTGAAATAATGCACTTCAAATACAAAATTTTGTGTAGCTTTCAGTTGATGTTTTCCCCCTACTTTTTCAATATGAGCACAAAACAATACACTTTTTTGATCAAAGGATGAAGTTTGTGATCTACTGAACACAACAGAGCTGGATTCCAAGAAAACATGCAGTGGGTTGAGCTATAGACAGACAGACTGGCAGCTTTCACACTTGCTCAGTGAATAAAAGCTGTAAGAGACGCAGTCAGCAAACTGACTGACTGCTTTGAGACCACACCAGAAGCCTGCAGCCTGGACTTGAGTTGTGCTGGTCTCCACAGGTGGCAGACTAGTGGAAACAAGACCCTGGGCACATATGAGTTCACACACAGGTGAGGTCCACACAGGTCTCACCAGTAGTTATTCATTTCAGTATTGCTGTCCCAATTTTCTCCCTACTGGGCCAGCAAAGTTCTTACAAAGAAGTACAGAAAAAAAGAGACAACTATAACTTTCACAAAGAAACCACCCCACTGAAAAAAATAGTATCCTTCAACTTCTGGATTCATTTGTTGCCCACTAACAGAATTTGGAGGGATCCTTGTGGCACTCTTTGAAAGCTGCAGAGATGGCTGCCTCATCACTCCAGAATCCAGTAACTATTAGCACAGGTCACAAAGCCGATCTGTGGCATGCTGTTGCTTACATCAGTCACGGCTCTCTCAGATCCCTCTTGGCCCCGCCTACCTCACAGGGTGTCTGTTGTGGGGAGAGGAAAGGAAAGGAGACTGTAAGCCACTCTGGGACTACTTTTGGTAGTGAAGGGTGGGGGATAAAACTCTACTTCATTCCAAGACGTCTTGGGCAGACGTGCCAGGTTTTCCTAATGCAGAATGGACACATATGCTCCCTATTTGCCCCCAGTATGTGCTGTAATGTGCCTTTCAGCCTGGAGGTACAGTTATGCATGTGTTGTTGTATTTGGTTACCATAAGTACAGAAAACAAATCTAGCTTTGTCTGTTCTGTGTTTCGGGGGGGGGGGGAAATTGTCAGAGACAATTTCCATCAGTATGTTCCATAATTTTTCTGTAAAGTTTTCTACATGTTGCTTGTCCCTTGATCCCATGATGCTCCTGGAGGGAGGGAAGTGTGAAAGTTGCTGTTTTCGCATTGCGGCTCCAGTTACACTGCCTGAAATCTAAGCGTTTGACTCTCCTGCTGCATTTTTAGACAGGTTGTGGCTGAGAATGGAGTTGCTGTAATCGACTGTTCTTGGGCAAAGCTGGATGAGACACCATTTAACAAGATGAGAGGAAACCATCCCCGGCAGCTGCCATACTTGGTGGCCGCAAACCCAGTGAACTACGGCCGGCCGTACAAGCTATCCTGTGTGGAAGCTCTTGCTGCTACTTTCTGTATAGTAGGTGAGGCAGTAGGTGTACAAAAACGTTATGTTGTCTGTCTAATGCATTCCCCCACCCCCTTCTCCAAAGGATGCTCCCCCCATACCCTTAAATCGTAACAAACCTTGGAGAGAGGGCAGAATGCTTGGCCTACAGGCAGTCTGTGAGCTGCATGTTTTAGTGTGTATTTCAGATCCCTCTCCCCAGCTTCCCTAGACCTGGTCCTCTTGAAAACATTGTCAGAAATGTGGAGGTGGGAGGACAAGACTTGGAGGCTCATAAGCAGTGTTCCCTCTAAGCTAAGCTAGTGTGAACAAGCCCACATTTTTTTTAGCCTCTGGCTCACACATTTTTGTCTCAGCTCAGGAAGGATGGGGCTCCAGAGCAAACTAATTTATGCAGCAGCCAAACGGCTCGCTCACCACTTTAATGCCGGTAGCTCACAAAGTAGAATTTTTGCTCACAGGACTCCACAGCTTAGAGGGAGCATTTCAAGTGCTGATAGATTTGGGCTTCTCCTGCCATGATGGATGTTAATTTAGTCACTCTGCTCGTCACCTTCCAGGGACCACTGTCAGGCAAACTCAAAAGAAGCACATTCGCCTGGAAAGCAAGTTCTCCAGCCCTGCCCATTGAGAGTCAGCACGCTTTAGGGTGGAACTGCTCATAGGTACAGGCCCCAACAGTATCTCCATTTTTTTTTTAAGTGTCAAGTGGCTGACCTGCCTTTTCATTTTTTTAGGGTTCTCAGATATAGCCACAACTCTCCTGAAAAAATTTAAGTGGGGAATGGTGTTCCTCGATCTGAACAGAGATCTCCTGGAGAAATATGCAGCCTGTAGCTGTGAAGAAGAAGTGCTGAGAGTTGAGAGAGAATTTCTGGCCACCACCCCAGAAGAAGATGAAATAGGTAAGACCTATTGACGCTGCTTTCAGCCGGGCCTTGGCATATTCACTGGTTCCTCAGTGGTGTTCAGGAAAGTGTGTTTCCTGGAGTGGTGCAGCAGCTGCTGCTGCTTTTGGAGGGAGGATACCTTTCCTGGACCATTCTGTCCCAGAGAGGATACCTTTCCTGGACCATTCTGTCCCAGAGAGGCACTGCCTTAGGCTCACCAGCAAAGGGAGAAAAAAGCCATCTCAGGAAGGTTTATGTTGTGGCTTGAGTCAGAGTTCCCATCTCCCCTTCAGGGATCTATAACTCGGCTCTCTCTGAGATGGCTTTTTTTTTTAGAGAGAGGAGGAGGAGGCAGCACTGGGGGGCAAACTGGGGGGGGGGGGGTTCTGATATTCTTAGCTCAGTTTTTCCCAAAACTCATTTTGTAACACCTCCCTCCGGCATCCCCCTTTTACTTTCTCTCTGGACCACACAAGTCTGCAGATGCAACCCCTGTGGCACCCTCCCTTTCTGCAGCCACCAGTGACTCCAGGAAAGACTTTTTGGAGAGACAGGAGGAAGAACTTGCTGTGTCTGGCAAGCAAGAGCATTTCTTCCTTCCAGTACCCTACAACCCGAGAGACCTGGGAAAGATCCTCAGGGCCAACCGTTTGAGGGGGTCTCTTGCAGTACCTTAGGGGAAAAGTTGGATACGGCTGTCTGACCATTTTGATTTTTGGCTTTTCAGACCCTTTTGATGTTGATTCTGGGAAAGAGGTCTGTAATCTCAACAGGCCTGCCAGAGGGTAAGGAGCTGCAGTGGTTTATTTTCTCTTTCAGGGAAGTTTCTTGGCTTTCTTTAATGATGATCTCTGTTGGTTTGTAGAACTACTACTGATGAAGACACAACTGAGTCATCGAGCAGCAGCTCAGAAGAACAGGAATGAACCATGTATGTCTGTATGGGTGCAAGTGTTCAAAAAGGCTAAGACTACGAGGCCCTTTGCCCTCAGCCAGCCTCTTGCTCCCAGACAGCTGTGCTTGGGTGGGGCTGGCAGACTGCTGTCCCAGTGCAGGTGTGGGCCAGCTGGTTCTACACAGGAAGCACTGGGGCTCTGCCAGGGAACTGACTGCTGCACGGCACAGGAACAGCAGCAAAGAAAGCACATTCGTCGCTGACCAACGTACCGGTACTGTTTGGGAACAGTCTGCTGCACTGTAGCGAACAAGCCTACAGATCTGTCAGGGCCTACAGATTCCGCTGTCTGAATGAAAAATTAAATGTTTATTTCACCAAACAGTACGGTCATCATTCTGAAGTGGAGAGGGGGGCAGGTGCGAGGGTAGGGTTCCCCTACATCTTTTTGCCAAACCACAGCATGTTGTCCGTTTTTTCCAGGGACAAATGAAAGCATTTAGCATTTCTAATCTTCTCCCGTTTAAGGTATACCAGACATGTGAAACTACTCTTTGTCTGGCCTAGCAAGTTCTCCAGCGGCTCAAGACAAGAATTTTTTCTCTCACTCAAGCTCATTTCCATGGCAGCTGCCAGGGACTGATCTCTAAGCTATGGCCATGGCCTGACTTGACAAAGGGAACCAGAGAATCAGTGAAAGGGAGACAAGAAAGCTTTATAGAAACAGTTTATTTACTCTAAACAGCAACACAGACAAAACGCCAAAACACAAAGGAAGTGACGCAGAATCAAGATGCTGGCTGACTTTGGATCTGAGGCTTTTAAGCAACAACCATCTAAATCTTTATTGGTAGAAAACAAAGTAAGGGAAGGAACAGGGTGGAGAGCTTTTTTCATACAGCCAGGTAGAGGCAAAATATACTCTAAACAGTTTAAAGCATGCCTGCATCAGAGAGCAAAGAAACTAGGAGATACTAGTGGATTTATAGAAGTGTAAAAGTTTATAGTTTTACAGCAGTTGAAATACTGACATCAATATTAAAATAAAAGCAAGTTTTACATAACAATCAAAAATACAAAAGACTGAAGGAAGAGACCCTGTATGAAAAAACTGGGGGCAATTCAGCAAATTTAGAACTGTATACAAGTGGCGAATATGGGAAAATGGCACACATACAACCCCCTCCCCTAAGTGACTATTAATTGTACATAGCGACATTAGATTTGCAAAAGTTTTGTAAACAAGTTCTTGCCAAATTAATCCCTTCCTTTAAGATGCGGCATGACAGGAGCTTATGATGGTGCAAATTTCTTGGCTTGTGCTCGAACCCTCTTTTCATATTCCACTCTGTTTTGGCTGGATAAAGAGAATAAGATTACTAGGCTTCCAGAAGTATGAAAGGGAGCTGTTACCTGGTTCTCCCTAAAGCAGAGCTTCTGACTATCACTGTATTTCAGAACACAGAAGGCACCATGATGTCTCCCCTTGAAGCAGCCACGGGTGGGCTACGCAAATCTCCGGCTAGAGAAGAGGAAAGTAGCCCTGCCCAGGCAGCACGGCCTGCAAGTGCCACACCCCCTTGACCACAGCCAGTGCCTTCCAGCCCCTCACGAAAAGCCTGTTAGAAACCAAACTATCAGTGCCTGGAAAGGGGATAGGGGAGGAGGAGAGTGGAAGCTTCTTTTCTGGCCACAGGACCCCAAAACCTGCCTGTACCCCCCCTCCTGCTCTTTAGCAACTGCACCTTTCTCTCCTGCCCAGAAGCCCACAAAGCTCGTTTTAAATGGGTTTCGAGGCTGCAGCAGCAAACACGAGACAGTTACCTTTAAAGATCTGCATTAATTTTGCTACTCCCAAATACACCTCAGTGATTTTTGTAACAGAAACAAGAAAACAGCTACACTGCTGTTTCGGCACAGCTGCTGAGTGTCAGCTGATGAACCATGAAGCCTTGAGTTCAGATGTTACACCAGTCATTAATTTACCTCAAACACACATACACCCTGGTCTGCAATATAAGGGTTATATCATGGGCCAGCTTTGCAGAATTGATGTGTGTGTGTGGGGGTGGGGGGGGGGGGGGGGGTTGTGTCGGACTCTACAGGCTGTCATTTCAATGAACCTACAACAAGGAAGCTTTTGGACAAGGAGAGCAAAACACAAAAGAACCTGGATGGTTTCCTGGGGGACAAGGCAGACCTCTGGGCATTCAGGGTTCTCCCAGGCCATGTCCTGGGGCAGCTGCACGGAGGAGCCTCCTTTGGCACAGAAGTCTCCTGAGGTGCACTTTGCGGCAAACCTTCCTGCCAACCACTAAGGAAGTGCAGCTGTGAGAAGAACCAGTTCCAAGCCTGATCAACACACACTCTGCGCTCTAAATATCATCCATGCAGAATCGCTGCCCTGGGAAGAAGCTTGGATTCCGATTCTGTGGACATGCAGTAAGTAGTTCCTGGCTACTGCTGCTGTGCAATTTTCCAGGCTGCCCTCGCTCGGCGCAATGATGCCGGACAGGGTGAGGGGTAGACGGGCGCCCGAGCCCCTTTCCCCCCTCATTAGGTGATGGGCAACATCTGCCGCATTGTCTCAATGAGAAACAGAGTTCAGCGCAAACAGCAGCACTAGAGAAGATGCAAGAAAAGATCCTAGAGGAGGGGTGGTTCAGAGATTCTTCAGGGACTTGCCTTTCATTGAGAAATGGGCACTTCCGGGACACAGGCTTGGCTGGGACAAAAATGCTTGGGGGCAGGGGGCTTGGCTCCTCCCGTGTTCCCCTTCTGTGCCTAAAGAATCGACACACAAACGCTCCCCCCTACGATCCCCCAAAACTCATTTGTGCCAGATGTCACCTGCTCTCTGCTGTGCAAGTTTTCACCACCTACAAAGCAAGGACCTTTCCTGCCCTCTGAAACTGGGCAGAGACAATCCCTCAAATGAGAGGATGATCCTTGGCTTCATGAACTGTGGGGGAAACAAGATAGTTTCACCCAGATGTGAGTTTCACCCAGATGTGTGTTTCCTATTGTAAGGAGTAGAGTAAAATAAATGCTACAAAGAATAAAAAAAGCTTAGAAGTAAAACAAAAAAATGCATCCAAAAGGAACTGTCACCAAGCTTGGCCAGGTTTAACGGGCTACTCACCAATAAATTGTGTAGGCCTCTGCTTGAGCTGGATCTTGAATATTTGGTTCATTTAGGAGTTCTTGGATTCCTAACAAGATCTACAAGATTCCAGAGACAGAAACCATACCTCTTTGCACAAACATGTGACTATAAAATGCAGCCCACTGGATTGATAATTAAGAAATACGTCCCCTAAAAGTGGATTTTAATTTATTTTTTTGATTATGTTTCTGGGCATAATTGCTACAAATCAGTATGCATGTGGATTCCAGAAATATGACCCAGAATGCTGCACATCAGATCTAAGTCAAGGGTTTAAATCTCAATTGAACAGAATGATTTAAAATCCATTTCTCCCGGCTTAACTTTGCCTACAGAGTGACTAAGAGAGGCTCTGAGAATACCGTGTCAGAAAATGACCTACCTGTTTAATTGTGATGGCAGGCCTCCAATCCTTATCCTCTTCTAAGATGGACAGACACACCGTACCTGAAGGGTACACATTCGGGTGGAATAACGGTGGCTCAAACTTGCCTGCACACAAAAGAACAAACATAAGCTGGCACTCTAGTAAAGCATTTGGTTGGAGTTTTCTTTTGAAAAAGAATGGTAAGATATTTTAAAATAAGGAATTTAAAATACAGTGCTACGTGCATTCCAACTCAGAGACATTATAAGAGGCTGATTTTGGTTCAGTGCAGCATTAGGTTTGATCAGTGCAGCTTCTACAAGCAAAAGCAGCAATTTAGTGACTAAATTCTGCATTGCTCCTATCCGGAAAAAATGAATCAACCCCTCAGGAGTCCAAGCGGCACGCAGCTGGCTACAAAGCAGATTTGCAAATAGCCCACTTGAATGTTGCAGGTGGTTTACTGACATGTCAAGGCAGCTTGCTCAATTTGGCTATTAAGGAAGTTAATAATACAACAGCTACAAAAACCAGCAGTAAAACATGAAGAAAAAAGTCACAAAGACAAATTTCAAGTGATTCAAGCAATATGCTCTCCTGGTCCAAAGCAGTCAGGGAACAAGGAGGAAGAGGTGCAAAGGAACAGTTTTATGTGACCTGTACAATTTATGCATTTTTCACACAGCATGGTCAGTGTGAGAATGCAGACTAAAGTGGCCTCAGCCCATAAAAGCAGTCTTAGTATTTATTCTACAAGAACCATTGACATCTATCAATCATCTACTTGACGGAATTTTAAAATACGGAGAAGTAGCAGGTTTAAAAATATTCATAAGACAAAAATAATAACGAAAAACTGCTCCCAAGATATTTCAGAAAAACTCCAGGACAAAACAAAGATAAAGGTGGTGAATAAGATAAAATACTTGGGAATAGTAATGACAAATAAGAATAGCACGTTAAAAGAAAATAATTACCAAAAATTGTTAGATGTACAGAAAGACCTTAACTAATGGAAAGACCTACAGTTGTCCCTAATGGGAAGAGTAGCAGCGGTCAAGATGAATGTTCTACCTCGTTTTCTATTTTTGGCTCAAAATATTCCAGTTTTAAAAAACAATCAATATTTCATTGATCTTGATAAAATAGTTAAGACATTTTGTTTGGTACCCTAAGAAAGCCCGTATAAAATGGAAGCTTTTGCAAGAAAAAAATGAAAGAGGAGGCTTGGGTTTCTCAAACTGGAATCTATATTACCAGGCAACAGCAGCGACATGGATTAAAGAATGGTTAACTCTGGAAAATCAAAGATTATTAAAATTAGAGTGCCATTTATTTATTTAGGTATTTTTACCCCGCCCTCCCCGCAAGCGGGCTCAGGGCGGCTTACAAGGGCGAAAGCCCATACATAAAATCCAATAAAACAATAAAATCATAAGCAACAACACTACTAACAACAATAAAGTGCTTACAGTATCAAGATGGTCTTGAGTGGTTATGATGGTATCTTCCAACAGCCCCATTGGGGTACCACTGTCGAGTAGATTGTTCGTGCCAGTCCCATGTTATCAGAGCCACATAGTTTATGGCTGGGCTACCAAGGGCCATTCCCGATCTCGATGGTATTGCCACCATTAGTGGTGGTGGCAGCGGCGGCCCCTACGTGAAAGCCTGGCGGAAGAGCTCCGTCTTGCAGGCCCTGCGAACTGCATAAGGTCCCGCAGGGCCCTGATCTCCTCCCTCCACCAGGGAGGGGCCGCCACTGAGAAAGATCTAGCCCTTGTCGCAGCAAGCTTTAACCTGGCAAAGAGCCCTGACCTAGATGGTCAGATCTCAGAAACTAAGCAGGGCTGGCCCTGACTAGTACTGGGATGGGAGACCACCAAGGAAGTTCAAGGTTGCTACATCTCTACCACCTCTGTTCAATCTGCAGCTTCTGGATCTGCAACAAAGGCAGCCCCAAGTAGAGAGTGTTACAGTAGTCTAGCCTTGAGGTGACCGTCGCATGGATCACTGTAGCCAGGTCATCGCGGTCGAGGAAGGGGGCCAACTGAAGGAGTAAGCCTCCCGAATGAACAACGCCACTCCTCCCCCCCACCCCTTAGTCCGCAATTGGTTTAAGACCGAGAACCTAGGTGGGGCAAGTTGGGACAGAGCAACAGTCTCCCCATCCCGCTCCCAGGTCTCAGTCATGCACGCCAGGTCCGCTTGTTGTTCCATGACGAAGTCCCGAAGGACTGTAGTCTTGTTGTTAATGGACCTGGCGTTACAGAATACCAATGACGGAGAGGGGTTCACCTTCCGAGACCCACTGCTGACATCCCTTGGGATGGGTTGTAGGCTGGAAGGGCACCGAGCCATTCTTTTTCTCGGGGCCCTTCCCTTGATGTTTCGCCTAGACCCACCGCTAAACTTTCCCCTCCCTAAGAGCACCGGAAGGACTGTAGTCTTGTTGTTAATGGACCTGGCGTTACAGAATACCAATGACGGAGAGGGGTTCACCTTCCGAGACCCACTGCTGACATCCCTTGGGATGGGTTGTAGGCTGGAAGGGCACCGAGCCATTCTTTTTCTCGGGGCCCTTCCCTTGATGTTTCGCCTAGACCCACCGCTAAACTTTCCCCTCCCTAAGAGCACCGGAATCTGCTGCGCCGGCATTGCTATATCCACCGGTCTATGCCACAGCCACTGACTTCTGGTATTGGCTACACTGGGCAGCTCTTCCACCAGGGCTGATTCCAACAGCGTCAGGTTGAATCACGTTGAATCAAGTAGCTCCTTGCTCTGCCCACTATCTAGTTCCCTATAGTACAAAAAGTAACCCAATGGCTCTCTAATGTACAGTATGTCACTAACTACTCTACTCAAACCCTACCAGAAAATCCTAATCCTTAACCTCCTGAATTACCCTTCTAGAAACCGTTCCTAACCATTCACAGAATGGTACTAATCCATGCTATATCGCACATTACAATACCTAATTCACAGAATGATTGTTAGCCACTACAATAATACAATTAAACTCACAAATTCGTTGCTAACAATTACAATACTAGACAATATTAAGCAATTCATCCTTCAGTAGTTCATCTCTAAAACCTGGCAATAACAATCACATTCATTTTTAACAGCTGACGCTAGAGTCCAATAATCTCCATCCATTCTCACTCCTTACATCCGCACAGCAGGAGCTACTATTGGCCCAAGTCTGGTCGGGATGATTTATATATGGGTTTGCATGCTTATATTTGGTATGATAAAGATAAAATACACTCAAATTTTCACCACCATATGTTAAGAAGCTCGTTATTTAAAATCTGGAAGACTATAAAGGATAGATTCTATGATAAAATCCCAAGATGGGTTTCTCCGTTAGAGGCATTTATTTTGCCTACTTTAATAACAGATGAGGGGGAAAAAATATGATGTTTTACTAGATAAAAACAATGTTCTTAAAAATGCAGAAGCGCTTGAACAATATAATTTTTTGTTAGAAGACTATATGAAAGATGAGAAAATTAAACTTGTGATGGTAAAATGGATGCAAGACATAGAGGTCATACTATATAACTAGACGACTGCGATAAAACATGGAGATTAGTAAAGCTCTTGAAAGCAACAACTTATAAAGAAAATATCCTGAAATTGTTTTATAGATGGCATTGGTCACCGGACAGGGTGACCAAATGCACCCCCCCAACACCTCTAAAAATGGTTGGAGATGTAAAGATAACGTAGGATCTTCTTATCACATGTGGTGGAGGTGTGGAAAGATGTTAAAAAACTGATATCTAATATGCTATCGATAAACCTAGAGCTGACTCCTGAAATATATTTGCTAAATATGATACCAAATGATATAAAGTCAAACGAAGCCTATCTGCTAACTTATATAGTAACAGCGGCTAGAATTTTGGTAGTGAAATACTGGAAATTTACTACTTTACCTTCAATTAAAGAGTTACAGATTAAGTTGTTAGATACTGCAGAAATGGATAGACTAACGATTCTGTTAAATGGAAAAGATGTGACAGTTTTCCAAAAACGTTGGTCCAGAGTGTATAATTTGTTAAAAACTTCTGGTGATATATACACTCGTTTTTTATATATGTTTATTATTTGGTTGTACTTGTTGAAAACCTAAAATAAATTATTAAACAAGATGCATGGGAAAACAGCTGTGTTGATACAGAGGCTGCATGCATGCCTTTTAGCACCCTTCAACAGCAAGTCTCACAACTCACATTTTGGGGGCGAAGAAGGATAATCATCCTTGAACAGCATCCGTAATTTAAATAAACCTCCTTCCCACGGTGTCTGTTAAGAAAAGATAGAACACAGTTACTAGTGGTTAAATAGCATTTCATTAGCCAGGACTGATTAGAGATAAAGCCCAACTAGACGAGAGAGGAACCTCGTACATAAAAGCACACAGTGAACATATTACCGAAGTAGCTATAGCAATGAATTCCAAACTCCGTTTTAAAAGTTAGGCCAGGGCAAGAGGCAAACTTGATAAACTCACTGGTGTGCTAAGGTTTCATCTGAGAATGGAAGCCTATTCTGCTACTCTTATTTGTTCATTTGATTTTATTTGATTTATATCCCGCCCTCCCCCGCAAGCAGGCTCAGAGCGGGTCACAATGTTTCATTAAATAGACATAAGCATTAAAACAGAAGATATGAAATATAAAACCAAATATTCACGGCACTTCATAGTGTCTCCTGCATGACGCTAACATAAGTGGTAGTTGACAGCAACTAGCTTTCTGACGATGCTCTGATTGGGCAGGGAAAACTGTAACCGGCACTGTAAGTATTGCAAGCAGAGAAGGCTGAGAGGGTTGGATGTCTGCTGCCTCCTCAGCCAAAGGCCTGGAGGAACAGCTCCGTTTCACAGGCCCTGCGGAACTGTCATAAGTCACGTGGGAGGATGTTCCTCCAGGCCGAAGCCAAGTGAACACCTTTTGGGCCGGCGGGGACCGCCAGGAGACGTTGCTCTGCAGAATGTGAGGGCTCTCCTGGGTACCAGGGTTCCCTCCAAGCTGAGTGAGTGTGAGCTGGCTCACCGTTTTTTAGCCTCTGGCTCACACATTTTTGTCTGGGCTCAGGAAGGGGGACTCCAGAGCAAGCCCAATCGCTGGCTCATGACTTTAATGCCAGGAGCTCACAGAGTAGAATTTTTGCTCACAAGACCCCACAGCTCAGAGGGAACATTGCTCCTGACGTAATTCACATCATCACGTGTTGCGAACACGCTCGTACCCCCATTAAAAGCAGAAGCACCTCTACGGAAATGCCGGAACCCTAACCTCCAGGCCACCAGGGATCCCCATCCAATTTGGCCCCACAGCCTTAGGAGGCCAACAGCTCATCCAAGAGTAACGTTTCCAGAATGGAGACGACTCAGCTCCATTTGGGAAAGTGGCGGAGCAATCAGGAACATGGCACAGAGCAGATCAGTGCAGTGGTTTCAGTCTTGGTGCCGTCTTGATACAACGGACCGCTGTCCCCGCGGGGGGGGGGGGCAAGCAGCGGCCCAGCGCCCAGCGGGGTCCAGAGCAGCCGTGTTGTGCCGCGCGCTTACCCCTTTCTTCCCTGGGATGGCGCATTCCCAGTTCATGAGGTTCATCGTGCCATCTGGATTCTTTGTGGGCACAGCGACAAAGCCCTGGGAAGCGAGAAGGGCGTCAGCGGCGGCCCCGGGAAGAGGAGGAGGAGGAGGAGGAGGGATCTGCCCCCCCCCCGGCCACCGGCCCCCACCCCCGGGCTC